GTGTATGCAGATAAGATTAGATTCTAGGAGTGACTTTTGCGGAGTCCCAGTTCCTGGGGCTTTTCAGTATGAAGAAAATATTTAAAGAATCTCGCAGTCTGAAAATTGTGATTGTTTTTTTTTGGAAAAATATTAATAATAAAAATAATTCTGCAGTTTATTTTAGTGTCCATACCGTCTAAGTAACAGATAAAAAGCGGCAAATATAGAATCGCCTAATTAATGATCTCACAGGAAGTCTAAGAGGCGTTGATCCTAGAAATATTGTTTTCACCAGACATGAGCCTTCGTTATTTACCTCGGCCCAATCGTGACTAAACTCAGTATGAAGTTACTTGCCTTTTGTAGTCGTAAATACGCCTCTGTATCGACCAACAGACAGGCAGCAAGTCTCTTTTTATTTAATGAAGTTATTTCTATTTTTGGTATGTTTTGTAAATTTTACCATTTTTGACAGTGACTGAAGCGCTTTAAGCTAATGCGACATGACTTGAGCTCTATATAATTTGGTATTATTACCATTATTGTCTCAGAATTTTAAAAAAATCATAACTATAACAATATTCTCTAATCTGATTGGCTGTTGGTAGCCCCGCATGATTTCAGTGGTAGTAAGAGAGCGTGATGTATAGAACAGTTAGCGTCATGGAGTTATTTGACAGTACGTGCCATATCGCACGCCCACTTGAACGTTGTTTCCACGGTCGGATGCGCTTTCAATTTCTCTCACTCTATCACACTTAACAGATTGTCGGTATGTGAGAAGCGAGATTCCTTCTTTCACAAAAAGACATAAAATGCAGAAAAAATTGGAGACCATCGAGGAGTTGAAACTGTGTTCTGAAAAAGCAATCACAGTACTCAACGAGACCAAACAGTACTTAGAAGAAATGAAAGATCAAGAAATAATGAGTGATGAAGCAATTGCAAGTATATATACGTCAACGACTGTGGAAGAGATAAAACGCGCCTTGAACAAAAGACCCACTGTAGTTTTTATTGGAAATCGAAACTGCGGAAAAAGTGCTGTTTTGAACGAGATTTTGGGTGGATCTTACCTTCCCGTGCACGAAACACCGTGCACTTCGCGTATTGTCAAGATCAGCTACACACCGGGTAAAAACACAGCCAGAGTTGTCGACAAAAGTGGGCAAGTAGCTAAATCTTCGATTACGATCGGCAAGATTGTTCCTCAAGATTATGTAGTGGTTTGCGATGAGGGCAGGGAGAAGTCAGATCAGTTAAAGTGCACTGTCGAAATTGCCTTGAAGCATCCATTTCTAAAAAGTGGCATAGAATTAATCGACTCACCGGGCAGGAATGAAAATAACGCATTAGATGAAGTGGGAGATGACTTCTTTGAGAAAGACACCACTCCATTTGTGGTGTATATCATCGATGGAAACGAGCATTTGAAGTCATCAGTAAGTATAAGCTTCACTGTTGAGTCAATAAATCCAATTTATATTCCCGTTAATCTGGAGTGAAGTAAGTATGCAAATGACGATATGTCGAGGTCTACGTAATTATCATATTTTCGGATCGTTTGAAAACCCAGGCGGAATGTAACAATAAAATGGCCGAGAAGCTGTCAATGCTGTTTTTTAGGTTGTTTCCAACAACTGAAGTGATTTGTCGAAAAAACAAGAAATTAAATCATCAATAACACGGCTAAGTGACGCGGTTATCTCAAAAAGCAGACTAAAAGAAAATCGTGACTTCCGGGTGCTTCATGGGCTTGCCTGGTCACATCTGGATTCTGAAGAAAAAAATACGTGGCGATGTTCTTACCACAGTTGACGTTCTCATCTGTGACTCATTCTTCTCACAGACATTATTCAGTAACGGGGGGAAAAGTGCCTCGAAGCTGCACCACTGCGGTATATATTGACTGTCGTCATAAAGGGAGTATTTAACAAGATTTAGGTGCTCCCTGAGGAGCCAGGCAGCCAGGGTTAGAAATGTTTAAGATGAAAGTTGCGTTCGTTATGGGGCTGACAAAAATTTACTTTTGAACTAATGCTTGATAATTTTACAATGGAGAAGGGTTTAAGCCCTGGAGATTACTCCAAGAACGCAGGATGCAATCAGGATAATTGCAGTTGAATCAAACCCATAGAGGAAACCAATCTGGTCCTGGCTCAAGCTTTGTCTGACCCCTGAAAAATGCCATCGTAATCATCAAACAGCTAATAAAGATTTCGTTACAATGATGAAGTTGTCATCGAATGCTTTTTTCCGCTTCGCTTCTTTAAATTCTTAACACACAGCCCGCGCCCCATGGCTGATAGTATTGGTGTTTTGTCCTCAACATTCTAAGCGATACCAATATACACCCCTGAACGACACGAAGATCACCTGGCATCCCCCTCCCAGGGATAGGATATCGACATGTGGGTACACCCGATACAATCGTTGTACTAGCCCCCGGTATCATATCTCTCATACTTTTTTCCAAGTTTACGACTAAACGGGTCTACACAATTTATTTCTTTCAGGATCTTGACACAATCCGTTTCTTGCAAGATAAATATCCGCATTTGTCATTTATGTTCGTCTGCAACAAGGTAGACACGTCTGCCGAGACACAAACGTTCGACAACCGAAGCGGAGACGACCTCGATTCCGACGAAGAAGAAACACGAATGAGACCGGATGAGGAAACCAGCGAAACCAAGGAAACCATTGTCTTTTCCCAGTTGAAGGAACACGGTCTCCTAGTTGACAGCGACAGGGAATCCTGCTTTTTCGGAATTTCAGCGAAGAATACTCGAAGAGACAGAAGAGACAATAGGAATAACAGCAAGGCGAGAGAGGCCTTTGCAGAATTTGAAGACGGGCTGTTGGCCTTTCTCAGCGAAAATATCAGGAGCCAGAGTATACATGCCGTGGAGAAGCTCCTACTCTTACAAATAAGCATTTTCCAGGCTATGAGAAGAGCAAGAAACAATCTTCCAGGAACCTTATTTGCAATCTCTTTGGAATTAGACAAGGCTACAAATATCGGAAAATCTTTGCATGGCGAACTGATGTCAACTATTGCAAAGAAAGAATTAATGAGAAAGGTGGTAAATGGCAGCTTGCAAAGTCTTCGTGAAAGATTTTTGTCAGTTGCAGACCAATATCAGCTTTGTTCTAAGAGGCAGAACACAGAAGAGGAATTGAAAGCACGCACTTTTTACTTCAAATATCTGGTCAGGATGGATCACTGCAAGCACCACCTCCCATTCAGTCCAAAAAAGGAGGACATTCCTTTTCTTCGATTCTTAATAACCATTTACAGAGCGATACAGGACTGGACTTTCAATGTTTTACGACGCTCTCTTGAAAGGTTCATTAATACGGCAACAGACCATGTTGAGATGCACACAAAAATGATCGACAATCTGTTCATTCGCCAAGCATTCCATTTACATTATGGATCTGGGCATTGGCCAAAAAGGAACAGTTTACCCAGTGGGGTTGATCTTATTTACACGTTTGCCAGCAAGAAGTTAAGAGAGGCCGTCACAAAGCTTCTCATTGATGGATTATTTCACGCAATGGAATGGAAATCTTCCGAAGCCAACTTCAGGTTAGGGGATGAGCAAACCAGAAGAAAAATCATCGAGCTAATTCTTTCCAAATTCAATCGCCAGGTAATTACTGAGTCACTATGCGAAGCCTGTGCAGAATGCCTCGAAATGATTCATAGTGTCTTGCTTAAGGACATCAGGAACAACCGCGTCACAAACGAGGTGCTATCAGCCGATGTCTCCCAAAAACTGGAGGAATTAGCGGCTCTCTACATTCCCAAACTGAGTCTTCTAACCGTTCAAAGCTTCGCCCTCAACTTTCGGGTAACCAAAGGTCCAATTACACTTGGTCCAGTTCTAAAACCCACAAAACACGGCCAACTTCATGACTGCTGTGGCTGGGCGAATATGACACATCCAGAAGCAAGCGTTGCGAAGGTTATCGAACGCGGAAAGGTGAAGCCGGAGATCTGGTCTCAGACCTCAGTGGACCTTTTCGACACCAAGTAAGTAGGGTTGGCACAAGCTTGGTGTAGTGCAGTGTACGTTCCTCGTTCAGTTTGGCTCAGGCTGGAGCTGATCCTTCAGCTCCGATCTGAGAATTACGTTCCAGCCAGTCATAAACTTCTTTTTGAGAGGCATTCTCACAACAAAAAAGTGGCAAATTTGCTACCGAACCTACGCAGTTTTAGTCGCAAACAAAAAGCTATAGGTAGGTGTAGGAGGTCGTGAAGTGACGAACAACGGCCGGTTAATCTCTAGTGCGATTATGACTGCAAAGCAAGCTTTCTTTAAAGCGACATATAATCTGTACAACTGAACGCTCCACAAAAATGATACTGACAACCTTTCGTTCTGTTTATTTCGCGATGTAGGGAAGTCCAGGCAAGGTTAGAAGAACCTCACAGTAACCTTCTCTATCTGCATGGTTGGCTCTTCCCTGAACCTGGAGTTATTAACGTAATAATGGAAAGGGCGGATTCAGATGTCACTACCGCCCTTAAACAGGGGCTTTCTTTGAAGGCACGCCTAAAGATTGCAGAGGACGTGGCAAACGGATTGGTGGCTCTTCACGGAGCGAGCTATGTCCATCAAGACATTAAAATCGATTCCATCCTGGTAAGTATCCAGGGCATCGGAAACATTTCACGGGCTACTAACGAATGATAGACATTCAAGAAAGAATAAAACAATTCCAGTATATTACTTTATCATCCCTTGGTAGCTTACAACGGTAAAGGAGTTTGGCACTGCCTCTCGGCCATATAACCTAAGAACTTGCATGTGTAAACAACAGACAAAACGAAGAAAGAGAGAAAGCGAGAACAATTGAAACTCATGAACAATCACGGCTGAAGAAAGCGAGCCTCTGAAAATTAGCGAAAGACTAAATTAGCCAACATCCTAAAGTATCATTTTCGAACTGCAGAAATGAAAGCAAAGATATATAGTAAAAGACTGCTAAATTCAAATGTAGCGAGGATGATCAGCTATGGAACTACACACGGACAGGTGCACGAACTTTTTCGAATGACGCTACGTTAATAATTTACCCACTGGCCAAAACCTAGAATCAGACAAGGCACGCAACCACAAGAAAATACTGCACTTAAGCTTAATTGTACAGAATTTTATACCACCAGTGTGACGAGGCATTCTTTTAAGCATACACGCATTGACATTTGCGATGAAATCAATAAAACGAATGCTGGAATTTCAAGATAATACTGCTGTACTACAAAAAGAAAAGAATTGCTAATAATTAACGCCAACTGATATTTATTATCCTGTTGATTTCGGCAGTTAAACCGAAATGGCACAGCTAAGATTAACATGGCCAAAACTAAGAAGCCTTTCGAGCAAACACAGCAGGGAACGCCCTTTCACATCTCCTTAGAGATGTACAGAAACCATAGTAAAAGCCTGGAAAGCGATCGCTCGTACGACATCTATGCCTTTGGAACCTTGCTGTGGGTGCTTTGCGAGGGGTCTGGGAACCATCGTCCCAAGGCCTATGAGAGATACAACACTATCGCGGCAATGAAGGTGGCAGCTGAAAAGGAAATATATCCCGAACGTCCTAAAGACTCCAGCGATGCCTGCTGGGAATTGATGACAAAGTGCTGGCGCCAAAGGTGCGTTTTAACAGCAGTGGAGATTTTGGAAGGCATGAAGAAAATTCTTCAAAATATGTACTGAATTCATGAGTTAAAATAGAACTGTAAACTAACAATTTATACCTAGCCGATTTTTTGAAAACGAAACTAACGAAATGTGCAGCGATTTGAATAACAAAGGGCTAAAAGGCAGACTTTTTGCGCTCAATAAGTTCGAAAAGCACACTTAGCGAAGGAAAAGGAAAAGAGAAAAAGAAACAGAAAGGAGGAAGAATGGAGGAAGAAAAGAAAAAGCAATGGTTGCACTCTTAGGTTTTATATTGGCTACTTTAGAGAAAAAGACTTCTTGACGGAAGAGGTCTATTCGGTGGTAACGTTTTCAAAAATCTGGTTGGATATATCTCCTCGCAATAATGTGTCGTAGTTATTACACACTGCGAAAACAAGCCTGTAGCTGTGAAATGACGCAAATATTTAATAGCAAATACGAAAAGGCGTCCAATATCACAATTCACATCCTGCAAGAAGGAAACGGGGCAGTGTGATCAGGGGACTGAGAATGCCAGTCTCGAAATGTGGACCACAACCCAGGTTTAAATCCCGCTCTTATTTGCTTCTCGGGTCGTCCCCACACCACGATTTTAAATATGGAGCCAACTGGTTACTCAGGCCAGTTGGGTTTTTTAATCCTTTGTACATAGATAAATAAGTTCTTCATTTGGATGGGTTGATACTAATTCTTTATGCGGTGCCTGTAAACTAGCTTTACTGAGCAACCAACAGCATCTTTACTACGCCCCTATGAACTAAGAATTTACATAGTTTTATAGAGAGTCATAAGGTTCAAGGGGGTGTTCAGAATTTAAAATTGTCTTGATTTAAAGATTAGGTGAACCCCTTCTAAGATTTGTTTCATTGTTAGTGTACAGAAAGGACCATACCAAGATTCTAAATCAAGAAAAACAATTAGCATTTACTTTGACTTTTGTAAAAACTTTATCTTCAAATTGATCGTTCCAACGCGTAAGGTTTCTATAGGAACTTTTATCAACTCAAACAGGGACATCCCTGAGGGCTTCATTCCAGGACCCCATAACTATAAGCAGAACAACTCCTCTTAAGGGTACGCGAACATTTTTTTAGATTCATTAAATCAACTGACTCTGCGCACTCAGTGTGATAAGCTAGAACCCATCGCGCAACTTGGGAAAAAAAACATCATTTATTCTTTTACAAGAATTTGTCAGTTTATTTCGGACATAATGTAATAAAGTGTAGTTGGCAATGAGACGTTTGTAGGGCAAGGTAAATCAGTGCTGCTCTGAGAATGTAGAGAGAGAAAACTAACAAAAACACCCCCTGTATAACCAAGAGTCATGATGAGCCTCGTTTGGTTTCAGATTATATCCCTGGGATTACAGTTAGAGTGCTGAAAGCAAAGTCACCTGTATCATACTTTATGACTGAAAGACTCTTAGTAATTGGAAAGCTCTTGCAAATATCACTATTTATATCTAGTCGATTTTATGAAAACCAACCTCACGAAATTTGCAGTCATTTGAGCGAAAAGGCGTCAAAACGGGCAGGCTTTTTGGGCCCGAGAAGCTCCAAAACCACACTAACAAAGGAAAAGGAAAGAAGAAAAAGAAAGAGCGAGAAGGAAGAAAGGAGGAGAAGAGGAAAAAGCAATGGTTGTACTCTTAGTTTTTATAATGGCTTCATTTGGCGGTAACGTTTCAAAAGATCCGCTTACATATATCTAACGGTTGTAACTGGTCAACAGTAGGACACCTAAAATGCCTGCAATTCTAAATACTGTGGTTTGGCCTCTAATTCTAGTTCTGAAATCCCATACCAATGGGCTACTTTTGAATTATCAAAATCAGGAGCGGTCAAAATTCTATGCTGCACAAAGACACGCTGCTTTGCACAAGCGTTTGGTTTAAGTCTAAAGAATAACAGACATAATTATTAATACAGATTGTTAAAAATTCAATGCTAACACCCCAAAAATGCCATTCGATAAAGTGTTTAAAAAATTCCCTACTAGTTAAGTCTTATTTTGTTATGTACAAGGCGAGGGAGTAGAAAAAAAGGCGTGGCCCAAAAATCTTAATCATATAACGCATGCGTAGAAAGAAAGCACCAAAGCATACGTAAATTCGCTCCTTTTTTGACTATTAGACTGAGCTTTCAAAACCAAAGTTGGTTGGTCATAAGGTTATTGCAGATTTCTATTTCTATGAGAAAGTAAATTCATTTAAAAAAGAATTTTAAAAAAATTAAGATCGACTTAATTATAAAAGAAAAACATGTAAAACTGGGAAGATTTGGACACTGAGGCCCAGTTCATAAGGCGTGCTTCTGTTGTGCCGAATTGGATCAAGTTGTCACTCACTGGGTTTAAACGAAGTACGGCAGAAGAGCGACATCAATTCAGACGTCGTGCCAGAGTCGAACTTAATCATTCTGAACGTAGTATCAAGTCAGCAGTCAATGAAACAAAAAATATGTATATGCATTTCGGAAAACACATCTCAGAAATTTATGAATTTAGTTCGACACGGCATAAATATTCTCGAACGTCCTAAAGACTCCAGCGATGCCTGCTGGGAATTGATGACAACGTGCTGGCGTCAAAGGTGCGTTTTAACAGCGGTGGAGATTTTGGAAGGCATGAAGAAAATTCTTCAAAATATGTACTGAATTCATGAGTTAAAATAGAACTGTAAACTAACAATTTATACCTAGCCGACTTCTTGAAAACGAACCTAACGAAATTTGCAGCGATTTGAATAACAAAGGGCTAAAAGGCAGGTTTTTTGCGCTCAATAAGTTCGAAAATCACACTTAGCGAAGGAAAAGGAAAAAAGAAAAAGAAACAGAAAGGAGGAAGAATGGAGGAAAAAAAAGCAATGGTTGCACTCTTAGGTTTTATATTTGCTACTTTGGAGATAGGTTTTGATTAAAAAAAAAAGTCTTCTTGACGGAAGAGGTCAAATACATATATGCATTTCGAAAAACACATCTCAGAAATTTATTAATTTAGTTCGACACGGCATAAGCACAACGTTTGAATCACTGCCGTGCCAGAGTCGTAACGGCAGACCTTCTGGACCGGGAAGAAGCACGACATACGAAATGGGTCTTACTGGGCCCATCATGTTAAATAGGCCAATTTTTGAACGGAGTGCAGCGTACGACTGCCGAACAAGATGGTCTTAGTTAGCAGAAGTGATATCAGGCTGAAAGAAAGTTGTTTATTACGGCTTGCTGTAATTTAAACACCTCTAAAACTACAAACAGCGAATGAAACATGTCGTAATAAGCGGAACGTTACCGCAAACACCTTACACGCGGCAATGAACGCAAGCACCGAAAAATGCGACTGTGGTTGCGGACGTTTAAAAGGGAGGGTTTAATCTTCCCAACTGGATAAAATCCTACAACGATATATTCAACTGCCTGTAATCAACTGAATTAAGAGATGTGCTGTAATGCATTGACAGCATACATTACAATATACAAAGACAACAGATTCTTCTCCCTAAAAATAAAATACAAATAAAGACATTTAAACTGTTCAGTGTTTTCAAGCCAGGTTGTGGGCCGGATACATAATTGAGAAGGAAAACACACCGGAACTTTAAATTTGCACAGCTTAATTTAACTCTTTAATCTGTAAGCATTTGCAAAGCTTTTACAGATATACTCAAAAAGGCATTTTCATTTCGCTAACACGTGACGTCAGTTTAGTTTTGTACTGTTTACGACTTAAGAACTGTTTTATAACTAAGTTTTAAAGTGACGAGCAAGAATGAGCTCACTCTTGCTGTAAATTTGTGTGTTAAACAACCTCACAAATCTCCCCACTATCTTCATTTATTTTAAAGCATTTTCTCCTTTTCTTTTTCAGAGAATTTAGTCTAAAATATATATTTAAAAATAGCAGATGTCCATATTTGATTTTGTACCGCGAGCAAGATCTGTTCAATATCGGCTCTTGCGACACAACGACACAAACAGAGACTTTGAACCAATATTGCGAACAAAATACGAGAAGTCACGATCCGACGATCCGTTGTTTTTCCTGGCCATAGTTTCGACGTCTTTTCGGTTATCTTCGAAACCTGACAACGGTTCGTTTTAATACCCTCTCATCCCTCTTAATTCCATCAAGTAGAGTTTACCGCGAATAAAATAGAACTATGATAGTTTGGCAGCAAGCCGATCACCTTTTCAAACCAATATTCCCGAACCAGCGGAACCACAAGAACGTCTAAAGGCAAAAAAACAATTTAAGCGAGAACCGTAGCCCTCGGTGAAGTTCACGTTGTCTCAATCTTTGCAGTTAAAGTGACTCAGTGACCAAAGATTGTCAGCGACCGTGACAATGCAGTTGGTATATTTAGTGGTCCGATAAGTGGCAGCGATGTAACTTTGTTTACAGAAGACCAGTACTCATCATTGACAATTTCAATAATAGAAAAATATTTGGAAAAATGGTTAGTAAGAGTCTAATATTCAAGGTATTTTCGCGCCTAAGTTTCTTGAGATTTCCGCTGTCTCCTTATACCTTTCAAATAAAAGCTAACAGTTCATACAAAAACATTCCAAGGAATCAATTTTGAAGCCATAAAAAATATCTTACTAGAGATCACCCCACCTTTAAGGATATAATCTACCAGACGCGAAGGCAAGAAACTTTCTCCAAGGGTCAGATTTAACTTGATTTTAGTACTGCAGCAAAATCCCGTAACCATCCGGCCTTATATTGAAACAGAGAAAAATGGTCACCGCTTTATACCAAGAGAGAATGAATTATACGGAAAACATTTTATGTTGCTGATGACAGAACGAAATTTTGTTAAGGGACGGACCATTAGAAAAGTTATGGGGAGGGGGGGGGGCGGGGAATTTTCGAGCCGCAGGAATTTTTTTTCTTTAATGTTTCCCTTGAATGAATATTTTTTTTTGTCAGGATGTTGTGCACGAATATTTTTTTTTCCTTGAAGTAACACTAAACTAAAAACATATTAAATCATTCAGTTGTTCACTTAACCAAGGGCATAATTTAAATATAGGCTACCTGGGCACATATGCGAAAGTAAATTGATACATATTCTAAGGTACAGTTCACAATAGCCTTTTATACACAAGGTATCCTGTATTGTAAGTGCATTGGTACTGCGAAGGTTCATATTGCATTGCTGAAATTTTACATGTAAACAGCATTATAAATAAGGCATTCTAAGAGAGTGTACGGTTGACTCTCTCTTAACGGACGCCTCTATAAGACGGACACCTCTGTACAACGGACACCTACAGTTGGTCCCTGCCTTTCTTTACTCCTTTTATTTGACTCTTTATAAGACGGACATCTCTCTAGGATGGACACTTAGTACCGGCCCAACCACTATCTGACGTAATATAGACACAGTGTGACAGGAGAAAGCCAGTGGGAGTAGATGGGACATTTGCCGCACATTTTGAGTCCCTGGCCTTTATTGTGCCTCTCCCATAGTCCATCATAGTAATTCCAGGTGCCATTGATGGTTACAGCTCCTCTATAGTGCCCCCCACTATGTTGATAAATCAGCAGGGGTATTTTGCAGAACGCAGGATAGGTTTCTCTTGAAATTTCAAGGTGTTGCATTCGAAATATTATACCCCGTTCTAGAAAACACCTCTGAAATGGATACCCCGTTCATTTCATTTAGATGCAATAGACCTTGTCACGGTTTTCGACGCCATCTTGACGAGTAGGCAAACGTGTGAAAAGTTGCAATGTTTGTATGAGAATCTAATGTCGAATAATTTCCGTAGAACGGCTGCTCTGAGAAAAATATCAATTGTAAACTAAAGCTTCACTCCTAAGGATTCTACTGAAAAAAATTGAGGGCGTTACATGCGCTGGAAGACCTAAAACCACTTTTTTAAATTTTCTATGCATTTGTCTCTAAGAAAGTCCCGGCAAAAATTACAGACAAAAATATGGAAAATCTAAAGCAAGCGTCTGGAGAAATTTTAACCACTGGTACGGCCCCCCAAATTTTTTAGTGCAATCCTTTGCTTTGTAGCTTTAGTTTACAACTGATACTTTTTTCAGAACTGCCGTTTTACGGAAATTACATCATACAAACACTGTAATTTCTCACACGTTTGCCTACTCGTCAGGATGGCGTCGAAAACCGTGACAAGGTCTATTATCGTAAAACATTAAAAGCTAAGTTTAAAGCTTATTGAAGGCTTAAGATACCAAACAACGTAATAAACTTGGAAACATAAAAATATTAAAAAGCAGCAGATAGATATTTGTATCTGGGAAACCAAGTTCAGGTCCGTTGTTATTAGGATCTGATGGCCCCACATCGAGCCCGAAAGTAATAGGACTCGAGATGATCTATGCGTGTTCTCATCCGAGTACTAAGCTAGCTGCTGTCATTT